TTTTTTTTTTCCTTCTAGATTATGCTTCAAGTTTCAGCTTATGAAATTAAGATTGAACCCACAGAAAACCCAGTTCAAGATTTAGACAAAAATAAACAAATACAACAAGAAATGAAAGATTAACAGAGATTCAGGCAAAATCAAAAGCAAAGAATTTTTCCAAACAAAGTAACAAAAGAGAGAAACATACGTACCATCAGAGACATCAACTCCTTCTGAAGCCTACAACAGCATTGAAACAAACCAAGTTCAGTTGCGAATTGAATTATCTCGGGATCCAAACAGCGAATTCAAGAAAAGGACTGACCTTTGTGAAACGGAGGTGGTGTCGACGGGGATGGGAGAAGCAGGGGGCTTTTTCTGAGTAGTTGCGGGTGTTTGGCGCTGACGCTGGGGCTGCGCGACCGACGAGTTGTCGGCCGTTGGATTGGGGCGGACCTCCATGCTCACGGTGATCAATCGCCTTTCCGATCGACGGTTGCTATTCAACTTAACGGTTTCTGCAGCGGTGGTGGTAAATGGTAATGAGGCTGTCTTTTTGTTTTATCTTTTATTTATTTTTGTTTTTAAATTTATTAATGAGAGAATATAATGGGGGCATGACCTGCTGTTGGTGTGACTGATTATAATCACTCATAAAATCATCATAATATTATAATTTTTATAATAATAATAATAATAACAACAAAATGTGATAATGTAATTTGGAGTAAATTATTTTATAGAATAAGTTGGACTAAATTAATAAGAAGATAATATCAAATATTTATTGTAGGTTAGTGTACAAGTATAGCAATCACATAGCTGGAATGAGAATGAAAGAGATAGCAATGGAGGAAAATAGGAATCTTTTGATGCCATTTGTGTAGAAGGGTTCTTATTAAAGATTGAAATTGAAGCATTAGCAAATAATTGTGAACAACAATGACACTACACGATCTAAGGGGATAGAAAGGAATCTCATTCACACAAAACCACATATTACAAATCCGAACATCAAATCAATCAAGCGTCTTTGTTTTGACAACCAAAAAAAAATCAAGCATCTTAGTTAGTAGTGGAATGATCTTCTTTCGTTATTGGGAGGCAAGCCAAATTAGTAGAAGCTAGTGTTTGCGTGTTACAAAGTTCATAAAGAATGTTAAGGTAAATATTAATGATTAGGATGAATAAAAGAGTATATGCGCGACTGATCCTAACAATGCTCGTGAACTCACACTCCAACTGTGTAGGATTCATTTGTAGTCTTTTGTCTCTTGGGTATAATTATATTTCTAAAAATGAAATTGTATATGTAAAGTACAATATGTGATGCCTAAAAAAGCAAAAAATTACACTACCATCATGCACAGCACACAATATCCTACACGCAACACAAATTAATGAAATCATCCTATCCCCTGTTGCTGCAAATGCTCAACCATATATGATGTACACAAAAGAAGGAGAGGAAGAAGAAAAGGGTTAGCAGCATGTCTTATGATCCAACTCCATCAACTTCTTGATTTTCCTTTGCCAAATGAAAACTCAGACAGACCAATGTTAACTGCATGCTGAGTACGAATCCCAGGCGGTGCCGGAGGCAATTGTGTTGTTGAAGTAGGCTCTTGATCCAGTTCCCTAATCTCTTCTGGGTCACTGGGTCCAGCATTGTTATTGTTTAGGGAATGTGATGACCCTTCAATTTCCCAATGACTTAATTCAAGGTTTGATGCTCTTGGAGATACATAATAGCCATCAGCATCGCTGCGGTTGTGCTTGTGCAGCAGATGGACCGGGGACATGCGCAAGCCTTGGCTGGGAGTTCCCGGCGTACTTGAGAATGGTGTGTTTGAGTGTGAATGAGGGCCCAGTTTTGTTTTCTTTTTGGCTTTGTTGTGCCAGCTCTTCAGTGCTCTTACCACTTCCTCATTGAAAACGGTGCGTTTCATGGTAGAACCCATCTGTTTGAGTTTGATCAAACAAAACAAAGTTAACCGATGTTAAATCAATTGGGATTCACTTGTAGCCTGCTGGGACTCTTTTTTTTTTTTTTTTTTTTTTTTTTCAATTTTCATGTGCACAATTTAAAATCTGATATTGAAAGCGAGATCATTTTCACCTGTGTCACTAGAGCATAGAGAGGCAGAGTCACATAACTGCATAAAAATTGTACAATGACCCTGAGGAGATCACCCAAAAAAAGGAATTGTGTGCATTAGCAAAACAAATTGTGCTCATTGAATGATTAACATATGGATTTGTACAAAATTTGTTTTAGTGTGTAAAGCTCACTGCTCACCCCATTGAGATCCTGATCACGATATCTTCGTTGCGCTCGTGGAAGCAAGATTTTATCCCAAACGCATACTGAAGGAGAGAAAATCAATTATTTAGGCTATGAAAACTAAAGAAAGCTCTATTTCAATGGTTAAAGTATCTTTTGGTTAACATCTAATCTAAGTATAAGCAGATCTTTGTAAACGTGGTCATTTTTACTTACTGTACTCCATGCAAAGAAGGCCAGCTGAAATGCATTCTGCAATGAAGAGAAAGAAATAACAAAAGAGCAGCATGTAAAAATACAAACAAGTATGACTGTATATGATTATATAATATCCGAGAATTGAAGCTATACAAATGAATTCTGGATGCATATTTTGAAGTACCTGAAACAGAACGAAGTGGATGAGAAAGAGCATGTAGCGAGGGCTTCCAAACCAGAAGAGGTGATCGCCGGGTTGAACAAGAGGGGCACCCTTCACCACATCCCCTCTCTCCTGAATCCTCAGCCCCATCATTGATATAATCACTTGTAGTTTTGTTCCCACCAACAGGATTATCTACAAGATTTTTAATCGCTATCAGGATTTTCTGTTTTGCTCACAACCCTTAAATTTATGTGGCCTGCAACTGCAATGGCCATAGTAAAAAGGGAATGCATGATACTTGGATGATGAATTTGATCTTACAACTAAAGGGATAAATGTTGTGGCCTGCAACTGCAATGGCCATAGTAAAAAGGGAATGCATGACACTTGGATGATGAATTTGATCTTACAACTAAAGGGATAAATGGTAGCCAGAAATAAGAATACCATCCTGTCCAAAGAGGAAACATTTCTTTGTCAGTAAATTCCCAAACTTTTCATGACAATTTTCGGAATCAATTATAAAAATAAAAATAAAGGATTTTACAATAACACTAGAAACAGATAAGACCTAATAGAATATCTCATTTACCATATGCGTTGGAAAGCAAGAACAGCACTGCAGAGAACCATATAATTGGGCTGCATCCATGAAGTATAAAGTTAAGTTTGTAAGACAGAGTTAAACAAAGAACCTAATGACTTTAGACACTACAGAACACCAACCTGATCTCCACAACAACTTTGAAATCCTCTTCAAGTGATCTGCTTATGTACTTCCGAAAATCAAATGTCGTTTCACTGTCTGGTGCCAAATGTGCCTGAAATCACAAAGCATAGAATTTGAGTCCATTTATGACCTGCATCTTGAATCCCATTTAAAGCCTTGCGTATGCAAATGAATTAGGCAACTGTTTTTCTTACCATGATAAATCCATGCCTCAGGGTTAGGTAATCAACCCTAGTAACCGACTGGAAGAGCTGCCTGAAGAAAGACACCTGGACGGGAAAAAAGAGAAACTTTGAGACATTTGGTCAAGCAATTTTATGTAAGTTGAGAAGCTTAGGAGTGTGTTTCTGAAGTTGACATCAAGGTTTCTTGCTGACAGAACTTGGGAACAAGGATCAACTTCACGGAAGTATGTTACTTACAATCCAAAGGGTCAATGGTGACCTGAATTTCAAATGTCTCTGTCCAAATGATGTGTCCCTTGCAAACCTAAACCTTTCTGGATCTGCAATACAAATAATTTAATGAGTTATAATCCAAGAAGTGCCCTTGATGGTTAATTGGAAAATATTCTTATAATTAATCATGAGAAGCCTGAATCTGTGAACAAAGTTTGTAAGAAGAAACTTTATAATTTACAAGAAAAAAATAATAATAGTAGTCAACAGAAAAGTTCCAGCAAGATGATGTATTAAAGTCAACCTGGAGCAAAATTACAAACCATTGTAGTACTGATGTTCAATTGACCTTGTCTCTTTCTCCCAAACCTTCCATTTTCTCATCTGTAATCCAAAAAAGATAAAAAATACACTGAAAAGATGAAACACAAAGAGAGAGAGAGAGAGAGAGAGAGAGAG